CGGCTTTTCGAAACTCACTACTGTAAGTCGGGCCATGTCCCTATGGACCACTGGATATTTTGAAACCTCACGCGTCAGCAGGTCCAATCCAAGAATTGGCAGGTGTAGGTGCAAGCGCACGACTTGTTCCCGATGCACTGCTCTTGTTTAGGCATCGCTTTGGCAAACAGCCATCTTGCAGCGAGCTCGCACGAACAGGGGTCGGGAAAAAGATTATCTTCCCCACTCCCGCTCCATGGTCCCACTGCCTCGTTTGGGCTTAGGATCAAGCTTGCGCAATTGGCGGGGGGGCTTAGGACAGGAAACAGATGCAGAATCATCGCAGAAAGGCACGTGCATATCAGCCATTGGTTCTTGGTGGCCTTGGCTCACACATCGAAGCGATCCCAATCTGGGTATGGGTCAAAATTAAACCACCAGGGGACCGCAGGTTTTGGTCCATTTTTCCATTTACCAGGGTTCCATTTTGGGTACCCATGTTTGACCCACAGCCTCAGAGCTGTGTCAGGTTTCGGCCATGAAAGCCATTCGAGACCCGACTTCCGGGCACGGCGCGGTGCTGTTTCCACGTCATGCAGGAAGCGGTCGAGCTTGTTCAAGTACATGTCCTTGGCTAGACTGAGACCCAACAGCCGAGGGAAGTGTCAGGCACCCGGCTGTGCTTCCCAAAATGAGTCGCATCCTTTCTGGGACGGTATTGGGAAACATGACAACCACTTGGAGGGGTCTCTGTCAAGACTGTGCCTGCTGGAAGGCTTTCAAATGATCTTTCCTGATGGCTAACACGTTACACCTCCCTTCCGCTGCAGGATTGGTCGGCTTGCATACGAACAAGCCTTTGATAGCAAAGAATTGAGGACCCAGAGGCTATGTTCCTGATGGTATGTATGTATTTTGCCGCATTCAGTTTGTTTACAACTGGATCCACTTTTCCAAAGGGTCGAGCCTTCATGTAAATATACATTCAAAGCATCCACTTGGCACAAGACTGGAATAAGGACGGTAACACTTGGGCGGAATCAGGAACTCTTCCACCTGAAGCCAGCTTGCGTCTGCATCAATCTTTTGACCTGGTGTTATCCCCTGGTTCACCAGCCACATTACGCTACATGATCCACGCAGAATGATGTAGGTCACCTCATCACCTGCCATCACTGCCACACCATGCAGCATTAATCAGCATCACACACATCGCCAGCATTACTGCATCAAACGCATCACCAGCAAAACCAACATCACACGCATCGCCAGCATTCCTGGCAGCACCATGCGAAAGTGATGCCTTAGGAAGGTTGTTTCCTTGCAAGGAAACCTGTTTTAACTTGCTCGCCATCGGCCAAGGAGCGTGAAGCCGCCGGTCTGGTGCGCCAGGGTGCTCCGTCAAGGGAGCCATGCGCCTGGAAGGCAGGAGGCCAAAATATCTGCCGCTTTACACCCGTCCGCGAATTTTACAATCAAAAGGGGCTGCCTGATGTTCGACTTTCAATCGAACTACCCCGAAAACACGTGCCAGAATTTTCAGGTATCCTGCAGATGGGTGCCCCCACTTTCCAGTCCACATAAATATTATACATGATGTGTGTGTGTGTGTGTCTACGTATGTATGTATGCATGTATGCATGTATGCATTTATGCACTTATGCATTTTTGTATGTATGCATGTATGCATGTATGCATGTATGCATGTATGCATGTGTGCATGTATGCATGTACAAATGTATGTCGGCAGGTATGTACGTAGGTAGGGTCTGTATGTAAGAATGTATGTACGTACGTATGTATGCACGTATGCATAAATGCATGGATGTATGTCCGTAGGTATGTATGCGGGTAGGTAGGGTATGTATGTATCTACTGTATGTATGTATGTATGTATGTATGTATGTATGTATGTATGTATGTATGTATGTATGTATGTATGTATGTATGTATGTATGTATGTATGTATGTATGTATGTATGTATGTATGTATGTATGTGTGTGTATGTATGTATGTATGTATGTATGTATGTATGTATGTATGTATGTATGTATGTATGTATGTATGTATGTATGTATGTATGTATGTATGGTTCCTTGTTGTAAGCCAGGGTTCGACATCAGTATCTGAGTAGGGCAGAACTCGGGGCAAGATCCATTTGCCGAAGATGCCCGCCGAATGTTCAAACAGGCACCCTACAACAAATGATTCAGCCTCTGGATTCACCAAGCAATCCACCAATTAAAGCTCTGAAAGGATAGCTTTGAGGAACACCTCCATGCTCCTCCTACAGACAAAAGAACAATAAAATGATTGGAGGCCCATCTTTAAAACCTTGGTGAGTTGCGTTAAAACTGGGGACTCTTCTTACTGCCTTAACAAAGCAACAGGCAAACAGTTGGCGGGACACTTCTTTCGCTTCACCTCCGGCAGCGCTGCCACGTCTACTCCAACAATCGGGAAAAACAACCGCCAACGAATCCCGAAAGGAAACCAACGTCACCATTTTTAGGCTTCCCCGATTTGGACAAATAGTGACTCGTTCCAAACCCCGTGGTTCACAAACCGGTCGGTCCTCATGGAGCTGCCCTGGTCCAAGCGTTTGGACTCCTGAGCTCGAGACAATCCGAGCGAGTGAACCAACCGTTTGCGGGGGTCCCTTGTGTTGCCTGGGATTTTCGCAGGGAAGAGCTTCAACTGGGAATACTTGGAAAAGCAATGGAAGCAAAGTGTCGAGGCCAATGCTCTGAGAGCGGACTTGATCCTCGAGAAGCATTCGTAGGCTCCGACGCATCAAAATCCAGCAACAGACAAGGCGAGACCCTTTCTCTCCAGACAGGCAGCGCAGCTGGTGTCGGGCGCAACCCTTAAAACTAAAGGCACTGAAATTAAACGGAAACAGCAACCTAAAAACATAGAACAGTAGATGGGAAATGCAATGAGAAAATCACATAGAAAACTTCAATCAATCAAATCACAAACCAGCCACAAACCATACCCTCAAACCATACCCCACAAACTCCCACTTTCTTGCAACACCGACCAGGAAAGAACACATCTACGTCCCCACTGAACAAAAGCGACTCTCCTCCGCAGTGATGCTGAAGGTGTGGCCTGGCCAGTTGGTAAGATTCCCAAAGCGGGCAGGGGGCTCCATGGAGCAATGCACATATCTTCCCGTGCTCCAATTTCAGGAAGCGGTGACAGCAAACAAAACTGACTGCAACGTGATGCCAAAGTGGGTTCTATCTGCCACGTGCCCCTTAAACTTCGATCAGGGCCTCAAAACTGAGCTGAGGGGCTTCCTGGAAGATTGCCGGTCAGCTTTTTGTTGGATGCTAAGTGGTTGCAAGGCCACTCGACTTTGGATGGTTGGGCAGAGTACAGAAAGAAAGCCTGACCAGGCCATCATTGGAGCAAGTGCCACCAAAAAGAGACGTGTGCCCGCCCTTGATGCAAAGCGACAAGCCAGAACCCGCACTAAGAAAAGCCCCAAACATTCTCTACCCTGAGATGAGGGGACGGGACGAACTACCTGGACAAGGGGCATGTTTTGGCCTGTACCAGAATGGTCAAGAAAAGCCTGTCGAACATCATGTTGGCTCCCTTGCCCAAATGCTGAAAGCTGACTGTCCATGAGATTTCCCCCGTCCACTGCCACAAACAGGGCCCAAAAACCACAATGCCAAAAAAGGGGTCGTGGCGGAAAACACGGCCCATGCTTTCGCCATGTTTGACCTCACCTGGGGGTGCGAACTCCCGCGGGGCCAAGCCCGCGGAGGACTCCGGGACCCGCCTGGCAGTTCCATGGGTGCCACCGAGGCCGCGCAGCCCATGTTCGACAGCTTCGGTCAAGGGTCACCGCGCTGAGCTGGGGGTGCTGAGAGTAGGCGGTTGTAGGTTACGTGGACAGACACGGGATGCTGAAACTGCTGGCATGAGAAGCGTCTCGAATTACGATCCCCTATCCTCCGGAGCGGCAAGGCGATCAAAAGGGCATGGGCGCGAGCGTGAGTTGCCAAGCGCATGGAAGCTGGCATTGCCTCGCCGCAGTACAAACATGGTGTTTCCTGAAGGTAAGGGGTCCTTTCCACAGGACTGTGTGGGCCGAAACATCTGGGTCCTTTCCACTCAGAAGCCAATCTCCCCAGACCATTCAGACTTCGCCTCTTTGAAGAAACCCCACCACTTGAGGGCAGAGATGTTCATCACCCGGACATGTAAACTCCTGACCAATCGCAAATGCCTCCGTTTGTGGGGGGTGTCAAAGGTGTTTTTTTTTGGGAACGAGGGAACCCATCAAGACTTAGACTTGCTCCTTTGCATCTCATTTTTGCAGCTTGGTTTGTGGTGTCAACCTAGAAACTCATCTCGAGGTGTGAGAGGGTATCGTCTTTAATACGAATCACCCGAGACTCCATGACTCCCCGAATACTAACATCTTGCTCTGCACCCAAACGTTTCGCAGCGATGCTCCGTGCAGGCATGGGGAATAACGCCGCACGCTGTGCACGTAACTAGGCGCTCTAGTAGTCTGGAAGAGGTTCATAAACTCCAAACCTGTTTGAGATGTTTGTTGGCCTTGTTCCAGGTTGGAAGGGGTGCGCCACGTGGAAGATATGCGGGCGCTGCTTCCTAGAACCGACAATTTCTCCATAACCCAAATGGGTGTGTGTTTCTAAGTTTACCCTTCTTCAGGTTGGTTTATAGAAAGGGAAACCAAAGGAAAGCGACAATTTTTGAGGTATTGTGACACGCACCGAAATGACCCGTCTCATTCTCTTCAGGTACAAAGGAAGCACCACCGCCGGCGAACCAAAGGCAACCCTCACCTTCTGGAGCGGCACCTCCCAAAAGCTTGGTTCCTCATTTGCATTCCGCTTAAAACCGTCCGAAAGAAGCCTCTAGTCCTGACACATCCCTGGACACCAGAACAATAGTCCCAGACCTGCTGCCTGCATATCCCATACCAGCGACCAAGACCTCTCCGCCCCGAAGCCGGAAGCCGGAAGCCCCGGGCCGGGATCAACAGCAGCGCCGCCGCAACTGGAAGCGGGAGGCCGGAAGTGAGGCTGGGAGGAAAAGGGCGAAAACTAAACGCTGCAAGACACATATAGGGGTTGCTCGATTTGTGTATATGTATATAGATGTGGCTGCTTGGTCATGTACATTTTTGCGCTTGAATATGTCTGTGTGTAGGCGTGTATACATGAATTGATTTATTGCAAACAAAAGCACACCTGCTTTCGTGCTTTCTCCAACACATGTGTCCATAATATTTATAAGTATGCTGCATGCATTGAAGTCGTCTTGCAGACTAGAGTAGCTCGTGTCGCCTGTGGGGTTGCAATTAGCGATGCCATATTTGCTCGACAAGAGATTTTTGTCAAGCCGTCCAAACAGAACAAGGGCATCGGAGTCGATATCAGAACAAAAATACATGAAGGTTGCTGCCCTCGCAGGCACAATGCAGATTGAGCATATGTTTCCATTGGAAATGATTTGTCAAGGACAACATACAGTTGAAATCCTGGCACAAAATCCAAACAAAGATCAACCAGCAGCTACATTGAATGTAACCCAGGATTGGTAAAACCAGCCAGCTTTAGGCACCCCGGCCAACCTGATCCGGTTGCAACAAAGCAACCTATAGTCCAACACCCAGCCTGGCGGCCGAAACCATGGACCCATCACCTGCGAGAAGCGGGCGGCCGGGTCAGCCGTCAATCTTCTTGTTGGGACATGGGAAAATGGGGTGGCTCGGATCTGTCCAGTGGACGACCAGAATTTGTCTCAGCTGCAAAGATCGATTTTGTGCCGCTTCCCAACAAAAATGTGGCAAAATTGAATATCTTGTGGGGCTAGGGTTGTTGCAAGGAAAACCTTTCGAAGCTGTCCCTACTTGAGACGCGGCCAACTCAAGCCAAACACAATGAGAACCCGCATTCATTTAACTACTGGAAAGCAACACCCCATTCTAGCCCATTTTGGGTTGATGTATCAGCGGGATCATGCTGTGTGCACTTTTCTTCTTGGATTTTCCTGGGGGCTCCCAGGCTAGAACAAATGCATACCAGCATTTGGGCCTTCCAGATGGTCCCTGCCAAGGGAACGTGCGCTGAGCAGCAGCTGCATCCTATTGAGGCCTTGGTTTGGTAGTGGGCTTTAAGATTGGTTTGAAAGTATGTTCTGGGCAGGGGCAGGGGCAGTTTTGGGTTTGGTTTAGGGGGTGGTGTGGTTGTGAGCCGCTTTTGCTCATCTCACTTTACCCGAGTTTGCCAGCTTGCTTCGAGTGATGCCATCACCCTCCCTCCCGGCGCCTGTGAACATGCCAACACAAAAGGACAGCGTTTTGGGCTTCTCCCATTTCAATTCCTTTTTAGGGTGCGCAGCCACAAGTCAGCCATGTTTATCCTGGGTTCCACCAACAGATGTCGCTTGATCGCGATGTCCGATTCCAGTCATGGAATCGGTCCTAAAAGCCCGAAGCACCGCAACCCGCACGCATGCATTCAGATTTGCTCGACTTAAGCCATCTCCAAGGGAGTGTGTCTGGCGTGCGGTTTTGAGCCTATCCCCAAACCAAAGGCCGATTATAACCTGATTAGAGCAAGACCAACCTGGGAAAGGGTAGCTAGCTCTCAAGCCAAAGCAAACAATATGGTTGCGCCGGAAGAGTCTTCTGTGTTCTCATCCTCCTCTCAAACCCAAATCGCGCCTGACACCCTGTCAGGGAATGGAACAGGCCTGTCTCATGTCTGGAGCCAGACACTTTCTCCAGGCGGCTCCTCCCTCCCGTCTCTTGGAACCGGTCTGACCGCAAAAGCCAATGGAAAGCCGGAGTCTGTCGGAAAGGGAACTTGCTGATCAATGGATTGAAATGCTTCCCTTTGAAACCATCCAAGAAAGGCTCTCTACGCACCCTCGCGCAGTGCCAGGAAGCCAATGCACAAGCGGCTTCCATGCATCTCCAGCGGGGCCAAAACAAAACCCTGCTGATTTGGACGAACTGCCCTCAAGACTAACCGAGCCCATTCCAAACTGGATCCTGTATCTTCAGAAAGGAAAGACTCACATGGGGGAGCCCAATTTCTGTGTGTGCAAGTGTGCGGTCTGTCTGTCTTTCTGTGTCTCCCTCTCTCTCTCTCTCTATCTCCCTTTCTCTTGGGCGTGGGAAAACCCATCAATCCCCTGCGACCCGAGCCCAAGCCTTTTTCGCCTGCTTGCCTGGCGCTGTACACGCAGAGTGTCGCTGTTTCCACACGGGGCTTGCCTTTCGCCTGCTATTGAAACATGAAAGTGTCCAGCCC